GAGAGAGAGAGAGAGAGAGAGAGAGAGAGAGAGAGAGATATTTGCAAATGTGCATTGATTCTTTCCATGTGCGTCAGAACCAATATGACATGTAGTTTTTTTGCGTACGAACTCAATTTGCATTAAAGTCAGCTTTGTTTTTCGTGTGTCGTTTCTTACATTCCAAAATTTTTCTGATCTATTTTTTTTTGAGTTGAGGAGATAAAGTACGAAGCAGTTTTAAAGTCCGTAATTTCACTTTGTCCTAGTATTATATGATTAAAGAAATGTCTTTTCTTAATCTGGTATACTATATTTTTTGTATGCATAGTTATACGTCTACTTACACACTGCTGTTCTTTTGCAGATAGAACTTCAGATAGTAATGTCCATCTCCCATAAGATTGAGCCAAGAGGGTGAAGAGGAATATAAACGCCCCAAACAACCCCAGTTCATGAAAGCTTGTAAGGGATTCCAGCCTGGTTGTTCGCCCAGTTGTCCAGTGTGTATGTGTGTGCGTGTGTGTGTGTGTGTGTGTGTGTGTGTGTGTGTGTGTGTGTGTGTGTGTGTGTGTGTGTGTGTGTGTTTGTGGTTTACATTTTGAATACAGAAAATAGAGAAAATACACCGTCCTGTCAAGCGTTTTGCTCCCAATATGGATTAGCTTTTTAATCAATATATCATCAGATCAATATTTTAGTGTGACGGGGAACAACACATTAAAACAATCAAAACAACAAAAGAACCACGACGACCTTTAAATAGTATTTTAATCCTATCATTCTTTTTCGAATTCCCTTTGATTGTAGCATTGCGATAAAACTCGATCATGTTATAAAGAAGAGATCCGCACTTTGTTGCCAGCTCTCCGACACTTTTAAATCGTTATCACTTCCATCCCACTTGCGTTATTAGCAATACTAAAGTCCCTGTTAACAGGCCTAATAACAAATTTAATTCACTCTGTGTCGTTAGCAAACGTTAAAACCTTGTTTGCAGATGAAGGAAATCAGATTACGATTTTATTTTACAGCCAAGGCCGATAAGAAATGAGAACTTAATTACTTTGTAAAGACAAGGATTTAAAAGCTAGGCCCCCTCACACCACTGAACTATAATACTTGAAAAAAGCTACGGGGATTTTTTGTTTTGTTTTCAAGAAATTTATTTGGAATGTACCATTTAAGCACTAAACAATAATACTGTTTGTATCCGGTCTTCACTGAATATAAAACAAAGAAACTGTTAAATCGCAAAAGCACACACACACACACACACATGTACACACATACACACATTCTCTCTCTCTCTCTCTCTCTCTCTATCTCTCTCTCTCTCTCTCTCTCTCTCTCTCTCTCTCTCTCACACACACACACACACACACACACACACACACACACACACACACACACACATACACACACACACACACACTCAAACCACATGATTAAAGGAAATGAAAAAAAAGACAAGGCTAGTCACCAAACAGCTTTAATTACATATAATATTATGTGTCAGCTCATAAAATCAAAAGGAAATAAACAAACGGAAGTCTAAAAAACAACAACAGATAATAAAACAACAACATAAAACATCAACAACACAATATATTATTAAAACAACATCATAAAAAAGAAAACAGTGCGTCGTACATGTACATAAAAACATACTAATTCTTGAAGGGGAACATTAATCGCAAGCTTCATTGCCCAAACAAGAAACACTGTTTCGATGTAACAAACTTATACATTTGCCATGTTATTAACAATTCCGTATGCAGGGCCCTAATTTCTTCCAGATTTTGATGGGTAGAAATCATCGTGATGACCCTCTTTGAAAAACAACGACAACGTTATTTGTAATCTAAAACACGATGTGAAAACATTCAAACAATGGGGGCCAATCATTTGACTGCAAATGTGTGGCAACTTCACTTTCAGTCTATTGTATATTGTTTAGTCGACAATTGACATTTACAATGTAGATTACATGGTCTTTGGAATGAAAAGATCGGCTAAATGCAAAATTATATTTGCTTTCTTTAGCTAAAGTTTTCCTACATAACATATTTTAAAAAATCATTATAGAACACAGATCAGTGGAAAACGTTTGATTCGCTTTTCATGAGCTCATAGTCAGAATATTAAACGTGTCGATTAGCTGGGAGTGATAGCAGCTAACTGTAGCTTCAACGCAGGAGCCTGCTGTGGAGAGCATATTTTGTTCCTGTGTAATCTAGGCTAATTCGCGTAGTAAAATTAATGTAAATACAAAGAGCACCAGTATAACCCCTTACTCCACAAAAGTCGGTGTATTATGTTACACCTACTTGTCGGCCACTCCTTTTTTACACACCAGATCCATCAAAATACATTGAATGCATTGTAGTACAGGGTTTCTAAAAGAAAACCCCCATTTAAAGGGCCATAACTTAATTATCTTTAGTTTCAACTTCAACAAAACTTAGAACAAACAAATTCAACCAAGGGGCCTCCAGGAATGTCAACATGACGAAAATCAATCAAAATGGTTGAGAAAAAAATTATTTTAGAAATGTCAACCAACTTGAGCAAACGCAAAACTTTACTTAAAATGTCAGCTACGGGTCCTTTATTGGTCCGTTCTGTATACAGGTCGAGGACGCTAGAACCAGGACAATCATATTAGATAGATACCTCATCAAGTTAAAAAGTATTTTTAAACTGAAGTTTGCGTAAGAGAAGGGGTTATTCTGTTGAGAAGATCTGGTTCCGTGCAGATGGCGCAACACCCCAAATGTAAAGAGTGCCCATTGCATGGTTGGGAAAAGGTTTGGGGAATGCCTTAATAGCCAAACGTTTATAAAATTAATTAACCTTGTCCGCGTTCCCCCTACTTGAACCATGTACATAATTTCCTTTGGGGAGTTTTTGACAGAGTCTTCGGAAACAAGCCATTAATAATTAAACATTTAAAACTCAATGTTGCCGAAGGATCGACCCAGTGACAAGCCACATGGATATTCAACATTTCCAGCGGTGTATTCAAACTTGTCGTCTAGCGAGAAATTGTTTGCACCTGGAGCACACAGTTCAAATAATCAACAGCTTCCCTCATTTTCTTTAACAATGTCAATGTTATGGTAAAGCACACATAAAAAATACATTATTGTTGATTTTTTTTTCTTATTTAACGATGCAAAGTTTTTCATTTCACTACATTTTGGTTCAGTTTTTAAAGACTTGATCTCACTAAAAAGTGTGAATTGATTTTCTTGATATTGACAAATGTGAAGTTACCTCGGTGGGGTCGGGGTTTTTGTTGTTGTTTTGGGGCTTTTTAATTAAAAACATTTTTTTTTACGGCATTTCAAGTTTTGTTAAAACTGATCTTAAGGTGACTGAGATACTTCCCTTCAAATATGGCCTATTTTTTATTTAGACACCGATGCTACTCCATGATGACTTTTGTCTCGGCATAATTTGACGTTGTAGAGGATCAGATTCTGCTAAAATCCTCTCGGGGAAATTATTAAATTTGTTTATCTTGAATTTTAACACCTGGAGAATTTCATTCGGAATATGGGTTTTACTAAATTTGAAGTCGGCAAGTCTCGCTGGTGTGCTACCTTTCTTTCAATCGTTTATTTAATGAAAACTGATTATGGATAGCATTCGTATAACGCAAAACCGCTCTACAGTAAGCTCTTTGCGCTTCACAATCCATACCATTACTCCAGCAGACCTGAGAGAATTCTGAAATAATCTCAACTTCCTGGGAAGCATACAGTGATGGTGGCCTTTTATAGGGGCTAAAATACTAACATACAGATACGATCTTTCGCTGTCTATTTACCATGAAGACACCTTCCACGAATGTCGTGGTGACTGCCGTATTTCGTAAATTATTTCCATATAAGGGAAAGTTTCCAAGGGAACCAATTATACTTTTTTTTTTTGCTCAACAGCCACACAACGTTTTTGCTAAGTGGATATCAAGAAGATAAATTTAATTGAAAACGGTGCCTCAAAAGCTGTAAACAAACCCGCAAGTCCTTTTCAAGCAAAGCAAAGACCCAAACTTTTAAAGCACAGAAGCCAATGTTCATAATATCTATCCTGTGCAATGATAATACAGTGTACTGAACATTGTGGGATTCACACTAGGAAGCAACATACTATCCTCTTGTGGTGAATATAATTACAATTTCGAAATAAACATTCCCGTTGAAAAGGGGTAAAAGAAGAAGATCAAACTCACACACTTTACTTTTAAAATTATTAGGGTTGAACGCTGAATAAAAGACGTATATTATCTGTTTGGTACTACTTTTTGTTTTTACATTCTCATCTATTTGTCAGAATATATAATTGTAGTCTCTTTGCATTTTAAAAGATTTTATAGCTGCTAATTTCCTCGTTATGTAGGGTGTCTCCATACAATTTTCTTTCGTAAATTTTTCTTTTTAACTGAATGCAGAACTGACGCTAACGTATATTTACGCACTTCTCGACTGATCGGGAAGTCACGAGTATCAACAGTTATTGGCCGTGTGTGCGCATTTAAACACACAGCAAATCGACACGTGGATAAATATGATAATAGAACTATGTCTTAAGATAGTAAAGAAAAGGCACACATGCGGAACGGAAAAACTGTTGATGTCTGCTTTCTCAAAACTAAGAGCTATCAGATACGCTTTGTAAAAACCACTGCATTTATGTCAACACCAGCATTTTATTAATACATTTTATTTTGCTTGCTCCATAGTCACTAAAATTATTTCATCAAGCTGTTCTAAACTTCCACCCCTTCCTTTCCAAAGATAATTATCTTTTTTAATTTTATCTCAGTATAAGTGAATCTTTCATTTTTTACCTGTTTAAAAGACATCATTCATCAATGTTGAGCCACCTTATTATCCTTCTCTTTTTACATACCCAGTTTAGATTATAGTGCCTCTGTTGGAAGTTAGGGCACAGGAATAATGTACCACTAAAAACAATGAAGATGGTAAAATATGAGCAAAAAAAGAAAGACACAAAGAGAATAGGAAACAAGAACAGGTGAAAAAAACCCGCGGTAGAGATATAAACAAGAATTAGGAAAACCAATAATATAGAGACATGTTTTTCCAAGTAAGAACCTTTGGTCGATAACTCTTAAGTGCATCAAGTAATGGGAAATGGATAACTCATCAGAGACGGAGTATAGCAATAGTTCACTTGAGAATCAGGAATTCGGCAATAAGTTTCGTAGCGATTCATGTAATATCCCTTTGAAAGGACAGACGATTTAACAGTTTGTAGAAAGTGCAGAACAGTTCGCCTCTTTTGGCGGCCATGCCAACAGAACTGTGCTGACACTATTTGAATAAAAACATAAACCAGATACAAGAAATTATTACCTTTGTAACAGCCGCATTCTGGCAAAAAAAAAAATGCACCACAGACCATAATATTCAACATTCAAAACGTCATAGTAAAATAATAAGAAAACTAGAATAAGTATCTATTTGCCTGTTTAAATGAAATGAGAAGAGGTTCCCATCACACGCCGGGTCGTTTTTTTTAATGCAACGACCAACAAGTAGTTTGAAAGAACAGACAGAAGTAAAATAATCAGATTGCTCGTATTAAGCAACGCAAAGGACATAAATGTATGCTATCTTCAAATGTATTTAGTATCCAGGCCAGGGATGCTATGAAACCTAAATTTAAAGACTTATGTGGAAAAAGCAGTTCAAACAATGTGTGAGTACTTAAAAATGAAATCATCGGGAATGTAGAAAAATTAAATAACAGGACTCCATCGGCAGACCTGACGTTCAGGTCACAAAAAATATAGACATTCTGCACTAGCGACACAAAAACTACAAACAGCTGGACAATCTTTTGCAACGTACAAGAAAGCTTTCAATAACACATATGTTCCAGTAACCACCTACAGATGTCAATCATGAACACCGATCACGACAGCAGAGGAGGAAATACAACCAAGAAGCTTAGAACACGATAAAGGATAATAAAATGCTTCTAATTCAAACAAAAATGGTTTTTGTAAGTCTCACAAAATAAAGGGCTCTTTGATACACATGGAACAAAGAAAATGAAGTACATGTACATGTAATTAGGTTACATAACTAGGCACAACAGTTTATACATGAACATTTTGGAAAGAAAATCTCCAGGAAAACATAGCAGATGACGCAGAAAGCGAAGATGAAGTCAAGATAATCTTTGAATAACTAGAGACGTGTGTTACCTACTCTGGCCGCATGGAGCAGGAAAAAAATTGTTTTATTGAGACTTCAAGAAAGCTACAAGCTCCTAAAGGGACACACTACTAAGAAAAGTAAAACGGAGAAGAAAAAGGTTTTAAAAAAATAAAAACTCTTTTAAAACTAGCGCGCATATTATTATTGATCTTGCGTTTGATCCAACTCTTTCTAACGGTAGCACATTTTAAATACAGATACACCAGTATCTCATTTCAGGACATACTATATTTTACTTAGTTTTTTTTTGTTTTTGTTTTGGAACATTCCTTGTGCTGAATCAGTCGTTGTGCTCTCTCAAATTTACGATAACGTAATCCATGGTCATAATCCTGAATTGCTAATACGTTCTGGACAGACTCACAGTAATTAAGTTTGAAAAGTATTATTCTTTCTTTTTTTCTCCTCCTCCTATTAGAGCCAGGAAACTCTGTCTGAATCTTGGAGACACAACAGCGTAGGCCAGAGGGTAAGCAGAGACCATGGCCTTGCAGGCGAGTGGCGGAATGGCGGCTGCAAGCATAGAGATTCCACGGGCATCACTAAAGACGGCCAGAGTGCAGAGATAGGCGAAGGGTCCCCAGCCTACCAAGACGAAACCGATGAACACGTAACACAGCTGCAGGGGGAAGACAAAAGTCATTGATAAAGTACCTTTATTATGGATTTGTTTAAAGATCAGCGACGAAGACAGACACCGACAAAAAACCCCAATGAAAACGGAGTCGAAGCAATTCATATCATTTATGTCCGTTTTTAACAACTTTGATTGGTTGCTGCTCACCGTGACCGAGATCCCACATACTCTTTTGCAATTATTCAGTTCAAGACAATATCCTCTCACGGACGTTTAAGGCTTATTTTTCAACTCACATTATGTGGAGAACCGTGTTCGAACATAAACTACATGTTGCCTTTACTTGGGGTAGCTACCAGAACCTACACACATGTAAACACCTGTCCCAGGTGATGAACCGAAAAACGCTGGTGACGTGTTATATATTGGTAATATAGTCCAGGAAGATACAAACCGTGCAAAGGATGTTCCCACCAAAGCTACGAGGATAAGTGAGGATTGTTTTGTCGAAAAAAGATGTAAAAGAACGACCTTTCATGAGGCTGAAGGACGCGCCGAAAACATTAATTTTTCCAATTTATATTGCATATATTTGCACTATGGATGTGTTTGTTCAGCGTTATAGTCTTAGTATTTGAATGGAAAATAAAACCTAAAGAAAATGTGCGCGCATGTGGGTTTTTATGGGAGTGGTGGAGGGGTTGCCAGGAGATCTTTATAACGCGTGAAAGGATTGTTCTTTCATCTTTAGCTGCCAAGCAAACATACGACCCAAAGGATGGTAGCAAGCTGCACGTGTGACTGAATACAGACAGAATAGGGTGGCAAGACTCATGGGAAATGGAGAGAATGTATCACTTGATATTGTAACAGAAAGTGAACGTTAAGGATTAGTGTTGAAAGTAAAGAAAACAGAATGCCTGGTAATATCCAAAAGAGCAGCAAATCCACAGAAACAAAACGGAGAATTAAAATGGCTAGGGCTAGTTTAAATAAAATGAGCCCAATCCTGAAAAATAGAAACATCTCAATGAACACCAAAATGAAAGTTATGGAATGCTATGTAAGGTCAACCCTTCTATATGGCTGTGAATGCTGGATAATTACTAAAGACAGTGAAAATAAAATAGAAGCAACAGAAATGTGGTTTCTTTGGAGACTGCTAAGAGTATCGTGGAAGGAAAATAAATCAAATGAGGTAGTGCTCGATGAAGCTTACGTGGGAAGCTCAACGTTAAAAACAATCAGGAAACGACAAATGCAGTTTTTGGGACACCTGAATAGACATAAGGGTCTTGAACATCTAGCTCTCACTGGCAAAATTGAAGGGAAACGAGGCAGGCGTAGGCCCAGAACAACATACTTAGGGAACCTAAATACATGGGTAACAGGGAAAGGTCAGGGAAACGTAGCTTTTTTGAGAGCATCTGAGCAAAGGAATGAATGGAGAACCATGATCCCCGATGTCTGTCACAGATCTGGCACTGGATGATGATGATGATATCACTTCATAAAACCAATAGATTAAAAGTATTTCCTGTATCCAAAGGTGTATACATAGAGGCGTGAAGGTCGTACGGTGGCTTTGATTAAACTACTGTACAAATAGTTGATATACATGTACGTAGCAACTGGCATGTTCTGCCACCCCCACCCCCTACCCTAATACAACATCGACAATAAGCATAATTATAATTCGGCATGTGAGATACTTCGAAAATTTAAAAAAATATATTAAAAAATCCCGATAATCAATAAATCATCCTTCTCATTGATGGCCTCACCTCGTCTTTTTAATTAAAAGCTAAGTGCCTGACCAGAAGAGAGCAGACAACGGTAGCATGCATGAATTTATTTGTTGGATAAAATGATTCTTTGATAAACAAACGAGTTTTAAAATCCTACCAAACGGAGCTGATCCTCTGAAAAGCATCCCTTGCACGCCGTGTCTTCTCCTTGTTGCTCCTGGCCACTACCAGCTGCAGCAGTTGCTCCCCCTTGTGGCTGAGGACGCGGCGAGGCCGATATGAGACAAAAGAACGCACTCATCATAGGAATGCCGAAGGAGAAGACCTCCAGAGTCATGATGTAAGACACGAAACTCTCGTCAGGGTTTTTCCAGTCAATGGAGCAAGATGTCCCCGTATGTTCCACCGAGTACCTAAAATAAAAAAGCCAGACAACGTGTGCTTCTGTGGTTCACTTATTGCTCTTTTTGGTCTGTTGACAAAATTCTAACTAAAACGTCAAAAATAAAATGAACGGTCTGAAATAACCCCTCCCATCTAATTGATATTAATAGCCACTAACGCATCAGAATCAAGAATACTTCTTATTTGTGTTACAATTTTTAGCTTGATTACGCAAATGAAGAACAATTTTTATTCCATTCATAAAAACTCGAAAAGTCAGCGCTTGCTTTGGCTGCCCCGGGGAAGAGCGACTTCTTATTTCATCGTTTCCGAGGGAACAGCGACTAGCGGAATTATACCGTTCTTTGCTACAGTTTAACAGGGTGCCATAGCTTACAGTATCGAATACAACTATAACATAATATAAGTTACATTTCGTCTCGATTTTCAATAACCAGAACTCAGTCAAACCAACCTGAAGTTGACCCCCCCCCCCTTTCCCTTTGGTATTGACGTCAGAAGTCGCTCTTCTCCAGCTCAGCTCGTTTATCTACAAAATATCTTTATACCTGCTCCAGCCCAGCAAAGGCATGATCGCGATACAAAATATCTTTATACCTGCTCCAGCCCAGCAAAGGCATGATCGCCCAGAACAGCGCATTTCCAAGAACAAGTGTAATGGACCAGCCATAGAACCAGCCTTGAGTGTCATCTGTGGTAGAAAATAACAACATTCAAAAATACCCGTCAACTCTAGCTTGGGGAAATACGTCAATGCCGGGATCTCAAGTAGTCAAATCATTTAGCTGAACATGCTAGAGGCCACAGTCCTTCTGATTTTTAAAATCATTTACGTCATTCACACATTATGCGGAATACGAGTATCTTCCTACTAAGTGCATATACCTTGATGGTTGAGATAAGTGTTAATTTCCTTTGTTTCAATTAGAGTTGAGGATAATGGCCATGCCTACACAACAAGATTTATTTTAACTGCTGACTATCCCGAGGGAATTTTGCAGTCTGATCTGTGTGGATTTTCTTGCTTCCCGTGCAAGCTGGCCACTGGATAGAGCCGATACTACATTTTGTTACGCTTTTACCAGGTGTCCGCAGAGGTGACACTTTGGCATGGGCCGAGATTCCATATTTCTGAAGTGTTTCACACCGGGTTCATTTTCCTCGATTTTTTTTTCAGCATGGGGTGTATAGCTCTTGCGTCATGACAAACGATTTTGAAACTGAAAACACAGCTTTGCCGTGACAGTATACATAGAGAAAGCAGCTTGCTCAAGTGCTAATTCCCTCCATTCGGATCTTGACATGGTCAATGCACTCGGAATCAAGGAAGGTGCAAAGGTGTATCTGACTTTGCAATTCATCGATTTGTAAGGTACAGCTACATAAGAAAGACTAGAACAATGAATGGATGACGGGACAGGTATAAATAGCAAGCCATGCTAGCAGGTTACAAAATCTTTATATAATAAAGTGGTTTAAGCCCCCATCGACACTACTTAGATCAGTTAGGAGACAGGCTGCTTTGACACCATCTGTTTGGGCAAACCCGGGCTGAGAGGGACATATTTTCCCAGTAGAGAACCTGAGACACTCGATACAATTTCTCCCCACACGAGAATCGAACTCAACACTTCTGCATGTGACAGCGTTGCGCCTTAACGCTACATAACAGACGCACGTATGCTGGTAGATGAACTGGTAGGTAGGTAGATTGGTAGATAGATGGGTGGGTAGTTAGGAGATATTGAAGTAGGTAGGGGAAGGTTGGCAAATTTTAATGGATAAGATATATGTAATTAGAAAGGTGGGTGTATGTAACGCTATTTAAAAAAAACTGATATTATGGTAAGGTATGATATCACAAATTAAGGAACGGTATATTGGTGTATGATATGACATGGCAAAGAATGGCATACACATGAATGGAAAAGTGTAGATATAGTCCGATACAAAACGTTAGTGTCCTTTTTACCTCTTCTATCGCCGTTTTGGGGACTAAAAACAGGGCCCTTCCTACAACAGCTACCATTATACAATCACGTGATTGGGTTTATATGAATATTTGAACAAAAATGAGTTAGGAGGCTTATGGATGTTATACTCACTGGCACCTGATCGTTGACAAGCAATGTATCGCTCAATGCACAGTGCGATGACAGCTCCGATGGCAGCAATGCCAATAAACATGCCTTCAAATGCGTAGATTTGGCACATTGTGCTCCCATACAGCCACCTGAGGACGATGGATTTATACAAACGTCACTTGTATCAGCCGGTGTTGGAGAGTATTTTGTTAATTAATGCATTTGAGATCATTTCTAGATAATAACTGATGACAAAGTATGATCCTTTTACTAGTCTTAAAAAAGAAAGTGGGCTACTTAAATGCCCCCTCCCTCCTCCCCCTTTTCTTCCTCCTTTTCAGGTGTCGCCGTTTTAGTGTTTGTCGTGTCATGGCACCACTTGTTGTTTCCATTGTTTCAACATTTCCACTACTAAGAAGTGAGATCATATGGATTCGTAGAGAAATGATTAGGTAAAACAGTGTCAAGCTCTGAAGACGGCCCCTCTTTATCATTTCGAGTGGAGGAACGCTGTTTTACTTTTGCTGATCTTTTTGTTTTTGATGAGGATCGAAAGGCTTTAACGTGATAGACTGGCAAAGCAATCTCAATGAAAATGAGCACAAAGTAGGCCTATGCTCTTCATTCCAATTTATTTTATACTGAACAACAAATCCACATCGTTAATATAAACGTGTACTGGTGTTGCTTGGTATGAAATCAAGCTCAATATTAAGATCGACACAGATCAATATATGATAGCCATGCATATAGGGTAAAGGGCAGGAGCAAGGGGGTGGAGGGTGGTTTCAGTGAGGTTCTGTTTTGTTTCCCTGTTTCTCTAGGGGTTTCGTATGACAAAACTAATATTATGTTTTTGATTAAAAGACTGATCAACAATTCAAAATGATACAAGCGGGAAATTATGACAGTAGTGACACTGCTATATCTTGAGCCTTCTTTCATAACACGTAATCGCTGTGAGATCAATTGATATTTATTATGCTTGTCTATATATAGGTTATCCTATTCAGTGCTGAATAGGGTTAAGGTAGTGAGTGTCAACATTTTAAAATAGAAATCGGCGCATCGCCCATTTTTGATATTATACGATGCTAAACATTTGTTCTGCCCACCTACATGTATTTCCTGTGGGGTATAATATAACACCAGTCACTTTCCCACAGACCCCAACCGCCCAACGCCCACCAATATTACCAAAATTCAGCGAGTGGTGTACGAAACCGCCCAGGTTGGCAAGCATTGGGCTAAGGTCAATTGACATAACTGGAAAGCTTTCGATTTAGTTGCGTCCAATGGGTTTGCATGACTTCAAAGCAATGGCACCATTTTGAACGCGTTGGCGACAATTTTGGTTAGGGTTGAAGAGGTGAAAGTGCAGGGAGCTTTGTTTGTGTGAGTCTGTGTAGTTGTGTCTGTGTATGTCTCAGTGTGTGCGTCTTTATGTGTATGTGTCTGTATCTGTGTATGTGCGTCTGTGTGTGAGTGAGTGGCCGTGTGTGTCTGTGTGTGTGTATGTGTGAGTGTGTATGTGTGTGTGTGTGTGTGTTAGAGAAAGTGAGAGAGTGCGTGAGTGTGTGTTTGTGTGTATGTGTGTGAGTGTGTGTGTGCATGAGTGTGTGCATGCGTATGTGTGTATGTGTATGTGTGTGTATGTGTTGTGTTTGTGTGTTTGAGTGTGTGTGTGTGTATGTGTGTGTGTGTGTGTGTGTGTGTGTGTGTAAGTGTATGTGTGTATGTGTGTTTGTGTTCATGTGTGTGTGTGTGTGTGTGTCCATCTGTATGTGTATGAACCGGTATTTGTATGTGTGTATGAGTGTTTGTATGCGTGAGTTTTTGTGTGTCTGTGTGAGTGATTCAGTGTGTCTCTGAGTCTGGGTGTGTATGTCTGTGTATGCTTCTGTGTGTGTGTGTCTATGTGTGTGTGTCTATGTGTGTGTGTCTATGTGTGTGTGTCTATGCGTGTGTGTCTGTGTCTGTGTCTGTGTGTGTGTCTGTGTGTGCGTCTGTGAGTATCTGTATATCTTTGTGTGATTGTATGTGTGTGCGTACGTGAGTGTCTGGCTGTGCATGTCTGTTAGAATGTATCTTGGTGTTTGTGTATGTATGTGTGTGTGTGTGTGTGTGTGTGTGTGTGTGTG